CGAAAAACCGAAAGAACGAAAGAAATAAAAAAAAGAAGAAGTAGCAAAGGCAAGCGAGTTAGTTTAGTTTAGCTAGCTGGCTAGCTAGGTAAATAGCCACTAGCAGTAGCAGGTAGGTACATACACTAGGCTGTGCAACAAGGGAACGGTCTTCGCTTCGCTCTGCTTTGCTCGCCTCGCTCTGCTTTGCCTGCCTGCCAGCTGGCCTGCCTGCCTGCCTGCCTGCCTTCTTGGCCCCCTCGGTCGAAATCCGAGATTGAGATTATCTCTGACAACCCGAAAGAGAAATGCAGGTCCTGTCGCTTCAGGTAGCCAGCCAACAGGTACTTTCCGATCGAATCGAGTCCGGAATCCAGGTTCCAGAATCCAGGTTCCAGGTTCCAGGATCCAGAACTCGGACCCCGGCATGCATGTGAACGGAACAGAACACCCGGACGCAGATCAGGAGTCAGGAGAATGGGGCGGAGAATTAATTAGGTAGGTAGGTAGCAACAACCAGCCATGACAGGAAGCGTGGCAGGAACCAGCGAGCGAGGAAAGCGAATAGGCGTCTTTCTTTCAAGGTAACACCCTTCCTCCGGTGCAACGCAATGTAATGCTGCAATGCAAAGCTCCGGGCCGGCTGGCCAGATCCATCATCCAGCCATCCATCCATCCACCCATCCTTTGACTGCAACGAATCGGTTGTTCATTTTTGGACCATGTACGGATGATCGAATCGAGTTGAATGGATGAAAAAAAAATGGAAAATGAACATTGTACTGGACATATTCCGCGCTATGACCCTCTCTCGCTCGCTTTCTCTCACTCTCTTCGGACCCAACTCTCAGCCCCCAACCCCAGATGTTGTGTAATATATGCATGCATGCATGCAAGACGCAAGGCATAACCGAAGTCTGTCCTGTCGCACGAAGCCTGATGATCAATGTTTTGGATGGAAACGTGTCCATGTCTGTCTGCCTGTCTGATTGTCTGATCGTCCGTGCGTCTCATCTCGCCTCGACTCGCCTCGTCTCGTTGGGCGAGTTGTTCCCTTCTGCCGGGATCATCGATCCGTTTATTCTTGCCTGCGGGATTAAAGGAATCCAATCTTGCGAAATCATTGATTGACGCGGTGCCTCCTTCTTCTTTTTCTTCCTGTCAATTTTCCCCCCAGCCAACAACTTTTTGATCCCTTCACACCACTGTCTTCCATCTCTAGCATCTGTCTCGAGCGACTAACGAAGTCATAGTCAAGACGATGACAAGACATAGCATAAACATATGATGTTTCCTTCCTTCCCCTCTCTCCATCTCACATAGCGTGTTGGTATTTGCATCATTCGTCTGTCCATTCGTTCGTTCCTTCGTTCGTTAATTCAACGAGAGCGACTCTTGCTGAATGCCCCATCTAATCCACCTTATCAACCCTCGAAACGCGAACATTGAGTTTCCGCTGCAGTTCCTCCTGCTCCTCCGGCGTGGGGACCATCCCCAACGCCCTCTCGACCTGAGGCGAGATCCACATCCCGATACAGGCCCAGCCCATCAGGCCCAGACCAAAGAGGAGTCGAGTTTTTGGGGAAAGATTGCGATAGGCGCTGCAAAAGAAAATTCTAGTCAGAGAAGTCGTCCAGGACCAGGTAATTAATTGGTGCTTACCTCCAGAACGACATGATTAAATAGATAAATAAATGAATGAATGAATAAAAGGAAGACAGACAGACAGTGTGATAGTTAGCAAGACACGAACACAATGGCGACGATCGTCAATCGTCAATCGTCTGTCGTCTGTCTGAATGGGTGGAGAGCACGGAGTACTGTGCTTAGCTTACGGAGTATTATTACCTCCTACTCCGTAGACGCGGTACCTGAACAAGCGCTGCTCGGCTTGGCGGACCCAACCTGACTGACTGATGACCACCAACGAACTAAACTACTCCGTGCGTAACTAAATACTCAGTAGCTGAGTAACACTGCATGTCATACAGTACATAAATAGATAGATAGATATAAACATGATCATCGTGATTATCGTGAACAGATCTATAATCAAATTGGGGAAAAAAATTTTCTAAAATAGACGTCTGCACGAGTTACATTCCCTACCTAGGTAGTATATACTCCGTACTATAGAGCGTCCTCGTCTACTAATTTGTACGAGCGTCAGGATTCAAGCTAAATTTATTTCCTAGCCATAAAGACAACTACCGAAGAAAACGGAGAATGCACAGGGAATCAATATCAATCGGATACGAACAAACAAAAACCTGCAATTGATAAAAAAAAGACATCACATCTTCGCAGACGAACAGTTTTATAATCATTTTTGTCGAGTCAAACACAATGCCCCCAAGCTGCTCGTGATGAGAGGCTTACTAGCCACAAGCGGATCCATATACTTGATACAGTGTCATAAAACAAACCTAAAGAAAGAACACATAACCGAATCGAGATCTTGTCCAGCAGGAACAAGAATTCCCTCAGCTTTTACCATACGCGCGGTCAATGTCCTTCCTGAAGTGGTCGACGATCTTCTTCCGCTGAAGTTTCTGGGCCGCAGTCGTGTATCCCTGGTACACAGTCAGTATCTCGATGATTTCAGGTACAGGAGGGGGAGAGGAGGGGGGGAGAAGGGCAAGACTAACATTCTGCGGGTTCCACTCCTCATCAGACAGAACAACTCCATCGATAACCTCAATACCCCGCAGTCCACCGGCCTTGCCAGCGTTCTGCAACTCCTTCAGGACGATCGACTTCAGCTGCTCGTTGTGGACCAGACTCTCAAACGGCTGATCCTCGATGCCATTCTCCTTGGCAAGCTTGTGCAGCACCGCTTCGACCGGCACGATGATCGCAATCGGCTTCACCTGATCCTCAGCCGCATAGATGCAGATGTTGCCCACCACCGGTGACGCTCGGTACACCGACTCCAGTTTCTCCAACGCAATGTACTCGCCGTTGAGCGTCTTCACGAGGTTCTTCTTCCGATCAATGATTCTCAGGTGGCCATTCTGGTCGAATTCGCCAATGTCCCCAGACATGAACCAGCCGTCCTCGGAAAACGCCTTCTTCGTCTCTTCTTCATTGTCGTAGTAGCCCTGCGCGACGCTTCCTCCGCGGATGAAGATTTCACCCTGTGGAGGGTTGTTCTTGGTCAAATATCCAGCATCCGGGAAGTCTACCAGCTTCACCTCAATGGAGACGGGCAGTTCACCCAGAGCATCAGGGTTCCACGCCATCGGATCATTGATCGCACCCATGGCGCTGGTCTCGGTCAACCCGTAACCGCTGATCATCGGAGCCACGGCATACGAGATGAATTTCTGCGTATCTTTGGCAACAGGGCCGCCACCGTTCATGACAAGCCGGAGTCGACCGCCGGTCGCCTCCTTAAGCTTCTTAAAGACAACCGCATCCAGAAGGGACACACCAGGAAGGCCAGCCTCCAGAAGGAAGGCCTTTGCGGCCAATCCTCCCCAGAACAGGTTCCTCACAACGAAGTTGTTCTTGTTCACTTGGTTCACGATTCCCTTTTTCACGGTCTCCCACACGGCGGGGACACCAACGAGAATAGTTGGACGGAACTCTCGAATGTCGCCCTTGCAATTGCGCGTCGAATTGTCCGACAAGGTCTTGGGATTTCCGTAGCCCATCGTGCCACCCCAGAACAGGCACAAGTTCTCAAAGACGAACTCGAGAATGTGAGCCTGAGGAAGGTAGGTAAGCAGCGCGTCCTGGGGACTGATGTATTCGCCGACGATGGCGTTCACACCGGCCGCTGATGAAAAAAAAAACTGTTAGTATTTGCGCTCATCACAGATGTTCGTCTGAATGACTTACTGGCTGCTATAACGTTCTTCTGCGTCAAGGAGACACCCTTGGGCTGACCCGTGGTTCCAGAGGTATACATGATGCAGCAAAGATCCTCTGGGTCAGGAGGGGTCGGGTCAACGGGGTTCTCCTCGCCAGCCTTTCTCAGGTCCTCGAAGCTCAGGATGTTGAGATATTCGAACTGCAACTTCAGATTGTCCAGATCCTCCTGCTTGACTTCGGTGTCGGTGTTGTAGATCACATGCTTGATGGATGGGACATCTTTCAAGACTTTAGTCAGGGAAGGAATGAGGTTGGGATCGAGGAAGATAGCATCGCTCTTGGTCTGCGCCAATGAGTGTCTGAGACCTTCTTCGCCCAGCGAATCGTATGCGGTGACGACGACAATCGATTGCGATGCCGCTCCTGGGAGTCATTATGAGCGGATATTCAATTGATTGGAGGGGATATCCAACTCACCGTGGGAGAGGGCAAGCCAATGAGCACTAGGGAAGCAAACCTTAGTACGTAGCCTACCGCGATGAGAATTTTCGTGCCTACCTGGTAGCACCATAGAGGTGGATGCGGTTGTTCTTTTCCAGCCCCAGCTTCCTCAACCCAGCGCCAAGCTGGAGCGCCAGTCGTTCGTACTCGATGAAGGAGATATACGAGTAGCCGCTCAGTTCAAAGTAGGTCCACTTCTTCTCGACCTCCTGCTCGACACCGTCGACCATCTTCTTGACCTTGCGGTTCTCGACGTGCGTCTTGATCAGGCGACGGGTGCCAATGGCCTTGGCATTGCCAAACTTCTGGGCGCTTCTCCTGAGGAGATCGTAGGTGGTTGCCACATCTTCGGCCGGTCGGATGATCAGCTTGTCCTTGGCAGAGGGGTGTCGACGGGGAATGGTCTCTCCCTCGACCGGTTGATAGCCAGAAGCCTCGACCGTAAACGGCGGCTTCTTGACCATGCGAGGGTAAATGACGGCGTCCTTGGGCGAGGGCGGCGCCATCTCGGACAAGCGACAGATGGTCGAGAGTCTACGTCTTGAGAATCCTCACTGAGAGGGAAAAAAAGGAATTCGCTCCTGGAACGACTTGGATCAGCAACGGAATCTGGCGACCAAACAGGGAAGGCGCGTACACAGAGCGAGAGGTGAGCAGCGCTGGATACAAGAAAAAAAGAGAGGAAACAAGCGCTTGACTCGCCTCCGAAGAGTCGATTTAGATGTGAGCAAACACAACCAAGGGCACTCACTTGGTTGTGGTGGAAGGGCGGGTGGAGAGAGGAGGAGGAGCTCGAGGACAACAAGGTATGAAGTCAGTGTGGAAATGCGGTGGCTGCGGGAGACGAAGCCGTGACGGCAGGGCGGCTGCTGTGGAGAGACCCGTGCTTGCCTGTTCAGGCTCGGGTAAATTCGCCCAGTGGTTTGCAGTTTGACTGGTCGAGGATCTAGCAGTCACTGGTCTGTAACCTGTCGGCAATGATCGTCTATTCTCCGCGTCTACAGTAGCATTAGGATTTAGCAGCTTGGTAGGCTGCGTATTGCGATGGTTGATGCTGCTCCTTGCTGCATCTGCAGAATGCGGTCATTTCACCGCGTACCACGGGTCAGTCGGGAGAGCTACTCTCGGAGAGATAAGCCGCGGCAGTCTACGGGGTACGACAGGTACCAGATTGCAGAGCAAGACAATGCCATTATTATTATTATTCAGTGAGTGTGTGGACAGAGTACTCCGTACCTAACTGATGCTGTTACAGTTGCAGAGCTCTCCACGCGGACGGAGCGTTTTGTTGGGGATTCGGTCCCAACGGGAGCCCACACGAGGCGCCACGTCGGCGCTGACTGGCCAGTCCGCGTTGCAGATAACCGCGTTTCTGCACAAAGCACATGACCACAGTCAGCTCTGCGATTGTGTCCAGTTCTAACACATAATATTTCTCGTGTTTGCCGTTGATTGCATGTTGATCGCGGACTGTTTTGACGCGCTTAGACACTAATAGGAAAAATTTTCCCCTGTCCTGGATGCGACGCGAACTACGCCGTACGGGGCAAGCTGCAGAGGATAGACAACAAGCGCGAAGGTACCTACCTAGTACGGCAGGCGCAGGTGGGGTAGGCTAGCTGGGAAACCTTGCCCTAAACGCTCTCCACGCATGCTACTCCGGAGTCCCCCGTATATGAGGGAAAAACGACAGCAATCATCAGCTCCCCTCGACAAACAGAGCAAACATGACGAGAGTACAGCACAGGACAATATTAATGAAAGAATAACAATCCGGCCAGAGTAGGAGCCAAACAAAAAAAAATGCCATCTCTTGAAGAATTCCTCGCCTCCATCGGGGAAGAAATCCACGATGCTGAAGAAGGTATGGTTGATAGTCTGCTACCAGCTACGTACCTTCTACCCCAGGTCTCGGCATGCAGATCTCCCTGGAGAACACCTATGATTCCGGTCCATGTGAAAGGTCCCTGCAGGTTGCAGCCGGTGGGCAGTTAAAAAAAAAGACCCCATTGGCTGTTTATATTTTTTTTTGTTTGACAGTGATTAATTAATTCGCGTTATATTGATTGATTAGAGTCTTTCCTGCTTTTCTCCCGTGATATCCCGTCCGCCAACCTCGGCTTTGTCGACTCGCGCACGGCCACCGTCGAGCTGACCATCCACGGTCAGGACTTCTCCATCCATCAGTCTCCCACGCTGCTGTCCTCCGCTCGAGCGGGGGGTACTACTGGTGCAGGTATGCATGGCAGAAAATTATAACGATTCTTATATCTATTCGTGTATTTCTTCCTGGAGCATCATTGGGGAGATTAATTCCTGGAGACATGGATATCTATCTTATCGCGAAGTCCCATTTCATTACATGTAGTTCTTTTTTTTTTCTAACTTCACTCTCCAACGCAGTTCTCTGGAAGATCACCCCCCGATTCGCAGAGTGGATCTCCTCCCGAAACCACAACCCCTTCTGGGAATCCTCCATCCTGACCTCGTCCTCGGCCGTCGTCGAGCTCGGATGCGGCATCTCAGGCCTCGTGGCGCTGGCATTAGGTCCGTGCGTAGGACACTTCATCGCCACGGACCAGGAGTACGTCCATCGACTGTTCAAGGAGAACATTGAAAATAATGCTGCGGCGGCCTATCAGTTGTCTCATCATCATCATCATCGCAATAGTAGCTACCGGCATGGCCCACCTCGACAGCAACAACAGAAGAAGCTTCACTCTGCTGGCGGAAAAACACGCGCTGGCAAACGCAGTGCGAATAGCAGCAGTAGCAGTAATAGTTCCAGCAACGAGGGTTCCCACAGCTTGACGAACGTCACTTTCACGGCCCTCGATTGGGAGCTCGATGTGCCAGAGACGCTAAAGGATACAATTAAACAGGAAAACCCCTCAGCCTCAGGATCGGAGATTGGACAAGATAGTGATAATGACGATGATAATGGTGATGATGATAAGAAAGACCGCGGATTCGACCTCCTCATTTCCTGCGATTGCATCTACAACGAAGCCCTGGTGCCGCCCTTTGTGCGGACCTGCGCAGACATCTGCCGCCTACGGCCGCCCTACGACCCTACTACACTCAGCTTGGACTTGGAGACGACATCCCCGCGGCGCAGACCGACGGTCTGCGTCATTGCGCAGCAGCAGCGGTCCCCGGACGTCTTCGAGACGTGGCTGCGAGAGACGCTGCGCGAGTTTCACGTCTGGCGACTGAGCGATGACGTTCTGGGGGACGGCTTGAAAGCCGGAACGGGCTATGTCGTGCATGCCCTCGTGTTGAGGAGTGACGCTCGAGACGGTCGTCGATGAGATAGGACAATTTTTTTCTCCATCCATAGTAGACAGTCTCCATCTACCGGTTGTCGAATGGCCTATATATAGGTATATGTATACTTTTCTATGAAAAATGAAACACATCCCGTTTGGTTGAACAAATGATTCCGTATTAGTTCCACGCGGGTTTGCCGCATTCAGGACGAATTTGTAAACTCTCAACCTTGCTGTGTAGGACGGGAAAAAAAATGCTGGAAAAAGAACAGGTAAAAGAAATAGAAGCACCTGTCGAAGAAAAAAAAATAATTATGTTGAAAATGAAATAATACGAAAGTAAGGAGTTACAGTCCCGTCCAGAGGTAACAAGAAACGAACAAACACGACTGACTGACTGATAAGACAATCAATCAAGAATTTGTGAGCACATGGCAATGCATGCAACGCGCACAAATGAAGAAGAAAGGGGGAAAAAAAAAGAAAAGCCAGAATAGCCGCCCCCCTGAGAAAATAAAAACGAATCACACCCCGCCACGAATCGTCCCGAAAAAAGAAACGTAACATATGGGGAATCTGGTTTCGAGCAAAAGACAACAGCCACCATCCATAGAGAAAACGGGGAAAGGGGAAAAAAAAAAGAAAGGAAAAAGGTTACAGAATGCCGGGTCACGCATCAATGCATGATACTGATAGTCAGACAAGAACATCTGGAGGGAAAAAGAGAATATGTAGCGGATTTAGAAAAAGGTCAAAGGATTGGAAGGTAAGGAAAAAAAACTGCCTCCTTGACAAGGGAGCCACTCAGCCGCTATTCTCCTTACCGGCGTCGTGCGAGCCAGCAGCTGACTCCGCGCTTCCGTTGGCAGCAGCTGGCTGATCCGGCGCACCTTTCACATCAGCAGGAGGCGTCGTGCTTCTCCAAGACTCCGGTTGGACGTTGCTGTCAATCATGGCTGCAATAGTCGGCTTGTTCGAGCCATTCGTTTGGGGCGAGGATTCCACGGGTGCAGCATCATTTGGGTGATCAGAATGCACCTCCGGAGCCTTGCTACCGGATTCTTCTTTCTTGATCTGGGGGCTCTGGTCCTGGCCATCCTCTTCATCCGACGCAGAAGAGTACTCGATCTCTTGCTGATAACCCTCGACATCCGTGTGAACCGATCCCGATCGACTGTCCTCGGTGGAGCCTCGATTCACACTGGGACGCGGAGGTCGAGGTGCATTCGGGTCGTAGACAGTACCGCATATGTCAAGAGCACGCGATTGGCTGCCAAGGCTCCTGTCTTTGTGTTTCTTCGTCAGATGGCACATGAAGCCATGGAGCGTCACAAAGTCGGACTTGCCACAGCTTGGTACTGGGCAGTCAAGATAAACGAGACGGCCATCAGAAGGCCGTTTCCACAAAGCACGTCCAGCGGGATCGTATGCCGCCGGTCGTCCGTGGCGTTCGCCCCAGGCCTCAGCATTCTTGATGGTATATTTCTGCTTCTTCCGAAACGTGCCGGTGCCATTACCAGTGCCAGCGCTAGTACCAGTGCTAGTGCTAGTGCCGCTGCCGACATTGGGATTCATGATCTGAGGTGGCTGTTGGATGATTGGGGTGGGAGCCGGACGCGGCTCTGGCGGGGTCTGCTGCTTGAAAATGGCTAGAGCAGTGGCCGCATTTGTCTCTGATAAACGACGAGGCATGGGCCGTGGAGGAGAGTCATTTTGAGAGTCACATGTGAGGCCCATGGATTCTCTCTTCAATCTCTTCCTCTGCCGTCGGAGCTCCTGATGACAACTTCATTTAGTGGACGGAATATCAAGAGGGCGGGGAAAGAAAATCTCACTTCTTCTTCAGCTTCCGCTCTCTCCGTGATCATTCGAAATTCTTCGTCTTCCCGCTTTCGGATGGCGAGGATACGAGCGCGAGCAGCTGCACGACTAGCTTCTTCCTGCTCTATTTGGCGCAGGCGAGCTTCAATTTGTTCCAACTGCGAGGGAATTGATAATGGTGGTCCCGGGGGGAGAGGAGGAGGAGGATTGACATGATGGTGAGGAGGGGGAGGCAGGTGTTGTGGTGGTGGTTGCTGTTGCTGATGTTGATGCTGCTGTTCTGGCATAGGAGCGCCATAGGGGCGGTAGGATGCCGACACCGGGGGAGCAGGAGGACCTGATGTGTTCGGGTTGATAGCAATTGGATGGAAACGCGGCATATTCATAGGGCCACTGACACCACCATTGAGTCCATTTTCTCCGACAGGTGGAGGGACCGTTGGAGAGGCCGCTGTCATGATGGGTGGGAGGGCCTAGATAGGATGTTTTAGCAACAGGGTTCGGCAAGAGAGATTATTCTGAAGAAGGTGCAATCACTGTTGCTGCATTATGATACATTCTTCAGGAAATGAACTTTGATCTGGGACGAAGTTGACAAAGAGAGAAAGAAAAGAAGCGAAAGAAGAAAAAAGAAAACAAAGCTCATGACACAAGACTGCAGAGATGGCAAGCAAGAAAAAGGTAACAGTACACTTAGGACTTCTAAACAAGGTGCAGTGCAGGTGACAATTGAAAAAGAAGGATTTCACGCAGCGAACGTGCCAGGTTCTTGGCTGGGATCAGTGATGCTCGTGGAGATTCCGGCTGCATCAACGGGCAGTCTTCTGCAGTCTCGTGCTGATAAACGTTTTGAGATGGAAATTGTCTAGATAAGAAATCGAGGGGCAGAACAGAAGACCAGAAGATAAGACCAAGAGAGAGGAAAGAAAGATCCAAGTAAAACGAATACAAGCGTACGGGAGAAAACAAAATGAGAGGGCGCATTTAAGCGATCTAATAATTACCTTGGATTCTGTGTGACTGGTGCGCGACTGAAGTTGCAGTGATGTTGGAGGGCAGCACTCATTCGATGAGATCTGAGCGCTCTATCTAGGTTCAGGGCAGATGTGATTCTCGAGTCAGAGAGAAGGATGAGTAGCAGAACCTGGTTCAGAATCACGTCCAGTCTGATTTGTCACACCCGAACAGCGAGCAGAGGACGACAGAGAGGATCTCAGACTGTCCCTTTTGGGATTCCTGCTGGCCCAGCGCTGCGCCAATTCTTATCTCTTTTTTTTCTTTGGTTGGCTGGCGCAACTAGCTGCACTCGAGCACAGTTTGTTTGTCACTCACAGGCTTAATGCCTGTTTTATTATCCAGACCCAGGCCAACTAGAGGGAGAGGAGGGATGACGATCGCAAAGATGACTGCCCAGAAATGTGGGTTGCATCACTTTTTACTGCAAGAAAAATCTAAATGAGCACCCAGACAGGAAAGACGACATGTAAGAGAATGCCAAAGTGGGGAACTGCGATGGAGTCTTTTTTTTCCTTCCCAGGCAGGCTGGAGCAAACACCGTGGGATCGGCAAATGGAAGGGGGCAGCTAGAGTCATGCACACAGCGTTGGATTTGGGACATGGTCGCAACGCTGAGTCTAATTAAAATCATTATTGATTCTGGGATGCGAGGAGGAGCCGGCTGGGTGGCGCTAGAGAAGGCTGTTGAGGCGGTTGGCTCATCTCTGGTTAAGTTGTTATTAGTTAAAGGGGGCATGGAACAGGAAAGCGACCAGAAGCTCCCCGGCCTGGAAGGGAGATCCCTGCCCGCCGTCTACACTGCGCTGCGCTGATTGGCTGCCGCGCACTGCCCTGCACAGACAGCTTGAGACGGACTGCCGCCATTGGCCGGCCCTGTGGGCTGTCGATGGAAAAGGCGATTTATTGAAACGTCAGTCATGCTACTATCTGTTAATAACACCTAATTACCTCGCCCGTTAGTCACCCAGGCCCACCCGTTGTTGACAGAAAGAGCTGCAGTCTGTATTCATTGCACTGCAGACAAATTAGGAGCTGGCGGATTCGATGAAACATGTTACAGTAACAGCTCGTTAGCTGCCCCCTCCCCGCCTCGAGCAGCTTCGCAGATCGACCTGCTACTGACAGTCAGACAGGGAAGCGTCTTTCAGATCGCTGCTGACCTCCCAGCAGAGCGCGCTGATGGCCAGTCTCAGGGCTTTCTGCCATGATGCGATGCAAGTAGTGGCGCCAAGTGGGCTTTTTAGCACCGTTGGCGTCGCTTTCCCTGTCCCTGATTTGTCCGTCAGTCTGTCCTTAATCACATTTTCACAACCAAAAGTTTATCAGTCATAGGTGCTACTACTAATAGTGGGCACAACCCACTAGTGGTCCATGACTAAAAACAAAGCAACACATCTTTTTGGTACCAGGCCCACGTCAGCTTGGAAATCTTAAAAAAAGAAACAAGGATCAAAGGATCCTGGACCACCGTTCTCGGAGAACCGGTGCCCACAATAAGTCCATCTATTAAGTAATGGTTCTTCCACCAATTAGGCCAGACGCAATACAGAAACCGACTACTTGTCTTGAGGCGAAGACTGGACCAAGTCCCGAGATCATTGCCTTGAGAGGAGAATTTCTTAATTTCTATCAAGTCATATGCTCCATGGCCAACCCATCATGGGTCGGCCTTTTTGGGTCATTAGTTACATTTTGTAGTTAGATAGATTGGCTTCCATCCCACCGCCAGCCGTGCTCGTACTTCCCGGGAATCAGAAGATAACTCGCCCAACACCCACAGGGGACTCGCGCGAATATATGAAGACAAGGTGAGACAAGGTGAGAAGCGACAAACAAAAGACAACACCGACACTCCAATGACAAAAAAGCGCCCAAAACGGGAAACCATTACCTGTACATGTCATAACTAAGACAGGGGATGAAGAAAGGAGAAGGGTCTAGTGTCACACAAGGGAGAAGGAAAAAAATAAAATAGAAATACAATCAGATACTATCCCAAGCGGCATTTACTCCTTCTTCTCACCCTCACCCGGCTGAGAAGACTGCTGCTGGGACTCCTCCTGACGAGCCTTGTGCATCTTGTCGAACAGCGTCAAGCTAGCCGTCTGGAGCTCATCGGTCTTCTGCTTGAGCTCCTCGGCCGTGGCGGTGCCCTCGCCAGACTGGTTCTTGGCAACGAACTCCCGAAGGCTGGCGATCTTCTCCCGGATCTGGTCAGCCTCCGCCTTGTCGAGACGGTCCTCGAACTCCTTGAGGGCCTTCTCCGTGTCGTTCAGGACGGAGTCGGCACGGTTAGCAGCCTCGATGGCAGCCTTGCGCTCACGGTCCTGGGCGCCGTACTTCTCGGCGTCCTCAACCATGGCCTGGATCTCGGCTTCGGTGAGACCAGAGCCAGAGGCAATGGTGATGGACTGGTCCTTGCCGGTGGACTTGTCCTTGGCGTGCACGTGCACAATCGAGTCGGCGTCAATGTCGAAGGTGACCTCGATCTGGGGAACACCACGGTGGGCCGGAGGGATACCGACAAGCTGGAAGTTTCCAAGCAGCTTGTTGTCCTTCACGAGCTCACGCTCACCCTGGTAGACCTTGATCTCGACAGCAGTCTGGAAGTCGGCGGCCGTCGAGAAGATCTGGGACTTCTTGGTAGGAATAGTAGTGTTTCGGTTGATCAGACGGGTGAAGACACCACCCAGGGTCTCAATACCGAGAGACAGAGGGGTAACATCCAGCAGAAGAACGTCCGTAACCTCACCAGCAAGCACGGCACCCTGAATGGCGGCACCGATGGCGACAGCCTCATCAGGGTTGACAGACTTGGCAGGCTCACGACCGAAGAGTTCCTTGACGGTCTCGGAAACCTTGGGCATGCGGGTCATACCACCGACAAGGATGACCTCGTTGATGTCCTTGGCCTGAAGGTTGGCGTCCTTCAAGGCCTTGCGCACAGGCTCGTAGGTGCGGCTGATGAGAGGCTCAACAAGACCCTCAAGCTGAGCACGAGTTATCTTGAGGTTGATGTGCTTGGCGCCAGAGGCGTCAGCAGTGATGAAGGGCAGGTTGATCTCAGTCTGGAGAGAAGACGACAGCTCAATCTTGGCCTTCTCAGCTGCCTCACGAATACGCTGGATGGCCATGCGGTCGTTCGTCAGGTCAATGCCAGAGTCCTTCTTGAACTGCTGAACGATGTGGCGGACGAGGCTGATATCGAAGTCCTCACCACCCAGGTGGGTGTCACCGTTGGTAGACTTGACCTCGAACACTCCCTTCTGGATCTCCAGGATAGAGATATCGAAAGTACCACCACCAAGGTCGTACACGGCGATCACACGGTCATTCTCCTTCTCAAGACCGTAAGCCAGAGCGGCAGCGGTAGGCTCGTTGACGACACGCAGGACGTTGAGACCAGCGATCTGACCAGCATCCTTGGTGGCCTGACGCTGGGAGTCGTTGAAGTAGGCAGGGACGGTCACGACACCGTTCTTGACCGGCTTGCCGAGGTATGACTCAGCGGTCTCCTTCATCTTCTGCAGGATGAAGCCACCGATCTGCGACGGCGAGTACTTCTGACCGCGAGCCTCCACCCACGCATCACCGTTGGTGTGCTGGACGATCTTGTAAGGAACCTCCTTAATGTCACGCTGGCATTCGGGGTCGGTGAATTTCCGACCGATCAAACGCTTGGTGGCATACAGGGTGTTCTCCGGGTTCACAACCGCTTGACGCTTAGCGGCGATACCAACCAACCTCTCGCCATCCTGGGCGAAGGCGACCACAGATGGGGTCGTTCGAGCACCTATCAAGAACCGGTTAGTGAATTGAGTTGTCAAGTAACGGCTTTAGACCAGGGCAAGGAGAATCATTCCGGGAAGCTCTGGCCACCTAGATCGAGTCAAAAAAAATTTTTTTTCACGTACCTTCAGCGTTTTCAATGATCCTGGGAGTCTTGCCTTCCATTACAGCGACGGCAGAGTTGGTAGTTCCTGCAGATCTGTGATTAGCCATTGCAATTGTATAACAGGTCCACTTGGTTTACTTACCCAGATCGATACCGATGACATGGCCCTTGACCTTCTCTCCTTCCGTGGAGTTCCATCTCCGGAAAGACGAGCCAGGAACTCTGAAAGCAGGAGCACGAGCAACATAGGCAGTGCGCGGAATCTGGACACGAAGAGAAAGGGCAATCAGCATTTCTGAGCTTGTAAAAAAAAGCTTTTGTTACTCAGGGGACAACTTACCGCGCGGGAGAGACGGGATGACAGCATGGTGCTAGTATTATTACAAAAACTACAAACCAGAAAAAGAAGAAAAAAGAAGCTCTGGCTCTAAGAAGCTGGAAGAGGAAGAAGGCACCAGGGAGAACAATAGGGCCTGGAGATAAAGGAGGAGATGGAGGAGATTGAGGTTTTTTGAGATGGAGGATGTAGGAAAGAAGAGAGAAGAAGACGATGAAGTAAAGCTCAAAATTTCCATCCCTTAGCGCCAGTCGGGTCACTCACGTGATCTGGTCGAATTCGGTGGAAGACCTCGGGACGCCATTTCCTACAGAACGGTATTGCCCCGGTATTCGCCTCACGCGACGCGCCCCTGCCCACAGTGTCTGGCGGTATCGTTCTGTATCAGCTTGCCTCGTGGCGGCGCTCTGCCGTCATCGCTGCTCACTCCAACTCCACTCGACCTTCACAGCAATTCATCAAGACGCGATACTGCAGCCATCATTCCTGTGCAGTTTCGTGACAGCTCCTAATACCTCTCAACCCTTGCGTTCTATCAGAGAGTTCACTGCAACTTTCTGTTCTGTACATATATACATCACATTCTCACCCTTTCGCCGAGACCAACAATGTGGTATCTCTAATACTAGTGCGCCTTGTCAACCATGACACTCGATTACACGCTTCTGTTGGTTTGGCCTCAAAGCTCTCTCATATTGCATAGTGACTCTACTAACAGGGCCGTGTCTTCACGCGCACAGGCACCGTCCGACTGAATCTCTGGTACTTCCCACGAAACGACGGTTCTTCCCTTTCAAAATCCGTCTTTTGTCTGTATATCCCATCCCCGATTGTTATGCTGTGGTACTGGAACACTGACGCGTTTGTTGATATGTAGCCATCATCAACTTCGCCACTACATCAGCACCGCTGATCCAGACAGAATCTATGTTGTCGCTCACAAAGTCATCCATTGTATTCACATCTCGTCGCAAAAGTGGGACACTGTGGCCAAGATACCTTTTGAGCCCAGATGCTTGGCTGCAGGTTATGGCTGGATTGTCATAGGAGGGCCTGATAACGGAGAATGCGCCTTTGTCAGGCTTCCTGACCAGACTCCACCTCCTCACGCTAGCTCGAGTTCTCACGAAGCAGACGTGGACGCAGCCTTACCGATCGATCTCGAATCAAGCGCGAGGGCTCCTTCAGCTGGGACCTCAACGGAACAAACGCGGTCAGGTAGCACTCCTGGCCGCGCACAACCGGCAGAAGTTGAAATTAAGAAGTTTGGAGGTTCCATCGTAAACTCTGTCACCATTCACCGCTTTCCTGGAGATGGGGAGCGCATAGCCCATGAGGATGTCGTACTTCTCAGGTACGAGGACTGCTGTCTTCCGATTGAAATGCGAATGCTGACTTGACATAAAGTAACAACGACAAGACGGTCAAGGTCTACTCACTGACCCGCTCGAAACTCCTTGAGGTCCTCCGCCATCCGGCTGCCATGAATTATGCAATCATCTCGCCCGACTCGAAGGTCCTCGCTGCTGTCGGCGATGAGAACTTCGCATACTTTTATGGAATTACGCGAGATGAAAGCGCAGCCGTTGAGCATGGAGACGGAGGTGCTAGGCTGACAGGGTGGAAGTGGACTTTGCTTCGCAGTATAGAATTGCAGTTAAGCACAGGATTTGATGACGGAAGTTGCTTCACTGTGGCGTTCTCCCCATCCAGTCATTTGTGTGCTGTTGGATCGCAATCCGGGATCATTACCATATTTGACATGGAAACAATTCGTCGGTCGAGGGACGAGAGACAAGATCAAGACCCAAAATTGTGTATGTTCCGATCGTCAAGGCCCGATTCGGACGCCGGCGCGGTGCGAAGCATGGCCTTTTCCTCAGACCCTTGGGACCTTCTAGTCTGGGTAGAGGACACTGGCCGAGCTGGCATCGCGGATGTTCGTCAAGCATTTTCCCGCAGACAGATTCTGAACCTGGATAGGAACGATCCTGAACTTCAGAAAGTCGAAATGAGCTTCAGCGCTCTTCCTGAAGGGACACGATCTCAACTTGAAGAGCTCGCCACCAGCTCAAGCGAGGACATGGGTACCATTCAACAAACAATGCTCGATCTGCTTGATAGATCATCATCGGCTGGCCAGAATGCAGGGGCTTCAGAGAATCAGTTGCTGCGCGAGAGTCTTGTACAAGATCTCACCGATAGAGAGCGGCAGATTATTGAGTTCTTGAACACCGCGCGATGGACTTCAAGACAAGAAGAAGGAACAGATAATAACTTACCAAGAACCATCGTTCATATTCGTCCCGGGTCCAATCCCAGCGCTCTTGGTTCCGCAGAGGGGTCCAATCGACCCTCTCGTACGACGTCACCCCCCGCACCGGTGATGCACTTCATGAGCTCTTCCGTGAAAACTACCTCGGCCGTGTAAGCGCCAGTGAGCGCGGTCTGAACCCCAGACGCCAAGGCGCTATCGTGTTGTCTCCGGCCAACACCGGCTCCAACAATCAAAACCCCGAAGAGGGCAATTCCACAGGGGCAGATGTGCACCTTTTGCTCAGATGGACTACCTCACCCTCGGATATGCAGTCCTCCGAGAACGCCTCTCGTGCAAACGGTCCAGGAACCTCTTCCGAAGATGATATTGATACTGGCGAACCAGGTACGAACAGCCACCTCGCCCTAGGCCGTGCAACAGCCTTAATTGATACATCGTTCCCGTCTCCAGACGCCACGTCATCCGAAACCCGCCAGAGATCGCAGCGGTCCAGATCAATACCGCGACGATCGCCGCGCCCGATTGGCACCACTGAGGGCATGCACGAAGCACGCACGACGAATTCGGAACTGCGGGCCAGCGTAGCTGCTGAGCGCCTCCGGCGGCAGCGACTGGCGGCAAATGAGGTAAATCGACCTACTGACTGGGAACAATTGTATCGACGGCAACTCATGACTTTTTATCAGATTCGGTCACCAAGATGGATTAGAAGCATTCTCAATGATCTCTCCGACCGGAACCTAGCCCATCTTCACCACGACCAAGATCCTGTTCAAGATCCTGCTGCCACGGCTGGAATTGGTTGGGGCGCGGATGGGAGAACCTTGTAAGTGTGGTGTTTCCATGGACACTTCCGGACTGGCTTGCTGAACCGTGTTTAGGTACATTGCGACTGTGGAGGGCATTTTTGAATATCAACTCAATATCCAAGATCGGATGACCTTCCCGATTCTTGCTTGCCGCTGAATCCAAAATGGGTTCAACCGGATTTTCTTTCTTTGTGGCATTTGATGCATACTGTTTCGCATACCTCATGATAGGATGACCTCATGCATTTCCTGTTGCTGGACGGTTCTGGGCGATATCGTTCTGTTTTCATTTCTTATCAAAAGAAGTGTGTTATTATGGACGAAATGCATTTGACGATACCACTTGTTCTAACTGACAAAAAGTTTGCTTCTTCTTTTTCTTTGTCTTTCTTTTCTCTCTCTCTCTCTCTCTTCTTTTTGTCTTTTTTTTATTCCTGCAAATTCTTGTGCCTCCTAGTTCTACTGTGGTGTAATAAATTATGATAAATCCGCATTTACTCCGTGCGTTGCTGTAAAACCCAGAATATATAAATTCGTAGAATCGTATGTAATTTGTCCCAGAATGGGCACATATACTCTGTAGTAGAGTTTGTATTAAATGGAATGCTGAGTAGTAACCGCACATTATCATTTAATTTCACAATAAATTCACTCTCTCATGCTCTCAATTTAGAGTGAGAAATCAAGAAATACCAAAGTGGTGGGTTGGTGCACGTTTTTCGGAGGCATCCATTTACTAGCCGCCTGTGTGGCTCCACACGAGAGCGCAACAACGGGCAGTCCCAACTATTATGTCACTGCGTCAAACCCAACATACAGATTCCACTTGATATTATGCGACACCAACATTCAGGTACCTGTCATCAATATCTGCCGTGAATTACCTGCTTTTTTCGTCAGTGCCTTCGGACGCAAGCCAAGTTCTGCATTATCTACCTATTGTCAGATTGTCCCGCACTTGCCTGCATTGTGCGGTAACGCTTGTCTTGGCAGACCATTTACAAGTCTTGATGGTACATGTATTCAAGATATAACACGGCAGCTGCTTTAGAGAGATTGAAACACCCATAACGTGGTGACTGTCACTTAAGGAAACATCACCTATTGATGCACAGATTTGTGTTCATTGGGTGCCATGATGGTTGATTCCCTTGCATCGAGCCTGGCACAGCTTCGGCTGAATGCAGACCGGGCTGATGCCGCCAATTTTGATGCTCGGATTGCGGAAGAGGAAATGGGCACTGGGGAAGGATTAAGGCCTCGAAAACGAGCCCGCCAGAATGTCGACGACCTAAAGTCGGAATTAGAGCGCGACTTCTTGACGCCGTCGCCACGATTCAGCCCGGACTGGCTGAATCGGCTGCAAAGGTTAGTCCCCAGCATTCCACCATCTCTTGCGCCCTTACAGGAAACCTATGTCGAGCTATGTTCTATGTGCTTGTATTCTGTTACTTCTCTGTTGGTCAATCAATCTTTCCATTCCTGAAGAGAATATGCCTATGCGTTTATCAGATTGTACTGCCCTCCTCTGACAAGTATGGTGTTACTAACGATGAATATGTAGGAGATGGGAGGTCTCAACTGATTATCGAGATCTCTTCGAGATAGCTCCGACGCAGACCCGCACCATCATCCGCTTCACTCGTGAGGGCCTGGAAGGCCGAGTAACCGGGTACCATGAAGTTACTGTGCCCGCAAATAGTGCCACAGCGAAGAACTCAACTTCCATGCTTCGACGCCCAGCTGGCAGAGCTGATTTTGTCAGAGGCGCTGCAGGATTTTTCCCGTTTGCTCCAGGTGGACTGGAGGGTGTGGAGGCTATTGCGGAGATGGAGTCAGATGCCCAGGCAGCCGAGCAACAGAAAATAACAGGCAAGCAGTCCGGCCTCGACCGCATTATTAATTTTGGTACGGAAGGCGGACTGTTGGAAGTTCCTCCAGGATTCAGCCGCGGCTTGAAGTTCGAGAAACCCAAGTCTAAGGAGGCCGAGGAAGACGACAGGGACGTGGAGAACACGTTGGAACAGGAAGATGACATTCATCTCGAGAACAGAGAGCCCTCTGCTGAAATTAACGAACGTGTTGGGCCCCATGATGAAGGAGAGATCAGCGAAGAAGAGGAGGAAGACATTGATTCCTTGCTTCCAGTAGAATTTCCAGCCCTCGAGCCTCGTGGCCCGTTGCTTACTGCGGCAGCCAAAAAGGTTGGCCGAGAATGGGCGCACGTTGTCGATGTCAATAAGGAAATTCCGAACTTTCATGAGCTGGTTCCGGACATGGCCAAGGAGTGGCCATTCGAGTTGGATACATTCCAGAAGGAAGCAGTCTATCATCTGGAGAATGGGGATTCGGTCTTTGTTGCAGCTCATACCTCCGCAGGAAAAACTGTCGTTGCAGAATACGCCATTGCTTTGGCTGCTAAGCATATGACCAAGGCGATCTACACTTCTCCTATCAAGGCCTTGAGCAACCAGAAATTCAGAGATTTCCGAAACACGTTTGACGATGTTGGAATTCTGACCGGCGACGTCCAGATCAATCCAGAAGCAAGTTGCCTGATCATGACTACCGAGATCCTGCGAAGTATGCTGTACAGAGGTGCGGATCTGATCAGAGACGTTGAATTTGTCATTTTCGACGAAGTGCACTACGTGAATGACATGGAGAGAGGTGTCGTGTGGGAGGAAGTCATTATTATGCTCCCGGAGCATGTTACGCTGATTCTCCTTTCCGCTACGGTCCCCAATACTTATGAATTTGCATCCTGGGTGGGCCGCACCAAGAAGAAGGATATCTATGTGATTTCGACTGCCAAACGCCCCGTCCCACTGGAACATTATCTCTGGTCCGGGAAAGCCATGCACAAGATTGTCGACTCCAACAAACGGTTCCTCGAAAAGGGTTGGAAGGAGGCCGATGATATTCTTTCCGGAAGGGACAAGATCAAGGCTCAGAAAGCTGCCGAAGCCCAAGCTCAAGCTCAAGCAAGTCAAAGAGGTGGCCCACAGGGAAGGGGTCGAGGACAAGCCCCTCGAGGCGCTCCTCAACGGGGCGGTCATCAACAGCGTGGAGGTCAACAGGGTGGCCCGGCACCGCGTGGCAGAGGACAGCCAGCTACACGGGGAACGGGCAACATTGCTCGTACTGGCCGTGGAGATGGACGAACCACTGCGGCGCAAGATCGGACCGTATGGGTCCACCTTGTCCAACATCTCAGAAAGGAGAATCTGCTGCCAGCATGCATATTTGTTTTCTCAAAGAAGAGGTGTGAGGAGAATGCAGAGTCCCTATCCAATCAGGACTTTTGTACGGCCTCCGAGAAGAGTGCTATACACATGATCATCGAGAAATCTCTTGCTCGATTGAAGCCGGAAGACAGGGTCCTGCCCCAGATTCTTCGACTTCGCGAACAGCTCAACCGGGGTGTTGCTGTCCATCATGGAGGGCTCTTGCCTATTATGAAGGAGATCGTCGAGATTCTCTTCTCGAAAACGCTAGTCAAGGTTCTCTTTGCTACAGAGACATTCGCCATGGGCCTCAATCTACCGACTCGCACAGTGGTATTTTCTGGGTTCCGCAAGCATGACGGAAAGGGATTCCGAGACCTGTTGCCAGGAGAATACACTCAGATGGCCGGAAGAGCTGGGCGGAGAGGCCTGGATACTGTTGGATATGTTATCATCGTCACTATTGGCCGGGATGAGGCACCTCCTGCGGGAACCTTAAAACGAATGATACTTGGGGACCCAACCAAGCTGCGGTCGCAGTTCCGGCTGACTTATAACATGATTCTGAACTTGCTGCGGGTTGAGGCCCTCAAGATTGAAGAAATGATCAAGCGGAGTTTCAGTGAGAACGCTACGCAAGCATTACTGCCGGAACATGAAAAGCAAGTGCAACTGTCGGAAGCCAGCCTTGCCAAAATCAAGCGCGAGCCCTGTAGCTATTGCGACATTGACCTTGAAAAGTGTCACCAAGCGGCTGTTGAGTATGAGAAACTTACGAGAGAACTTCACCTAGGACTCCTTACGTCGCCGGTGGGGAGACGGCTTTTCATGATCAAGCGGCTTGTTGTATATAGAAAGGTCAAGATTCCCAGACGTATTTTAAATGGTGTGCATACTGACAAGCTTTATTTAGAATGGAATCCGGACCGCCGGAGTTATCGTCCGTGAAGGAATCGCAGGAGGCGGCGAACCTAGCATACAGGTCCTTGAGATTGGCGCGCTGGGCGATAAGCGTCATCCTAGTGATATCCTGCCCTTTTTGCCAATATTCCGACATCTATTTAGGCCTCTACCAACTCGGTCCGCGGACATGACATTGAAGACATGCAGGATCCCGCTGGCAGATGTCGAGTGCGCCACGAGCACAATGGTGAAGGTAGGGGGACCGATATGGTACTTGAACATTAAGAAAGGTGAGGACGTTGTTACCATATCTGGCAGAGGCACAGCGCTGACTGCCGTCACAGAGGCGATCAAGTTCGGGGACAAGGAATTGCCGAAGTACTGCTCATCTTGGGAGACTCCAACCTGGGATGAGCTGGATTGGGCTCGAGTCAAGGAATTGCAAGTGAGGGATATTTTAGACAGACGACAAGCCCAAGCAGCGATTGTCCAGTCCTGTCAATGCCTCGCGTGTCCTCAGTTCCTGAAGCATGTACGTTCCCGGACGATCTTGCTTAGCAACTAACACGGGTATCGCATGCTAACACCTCACAGTTTGAAATGCAACACGACGAGTGGCAGGTGAAAGAGAACATTTCGCAGTTGAAACAGCTTATGTCCGACCAAAACCTCCAGCTTCTGCCAGATTACGAGCAACGGGTCCAGGTTCTCAAGGACCTGGGCTTCATCGACGAGGAATGTCGCGTGCAACTGAAGGGCAAGGTCGCATGCGAGGTACGAGAAAGAACCCCTCCCCGATACCCGATGATAAGATGTTTCTAACTCTGACTGCAGATTCACTCCGCGGATGAGCTCGTTCTGACGGAATTGATTCTCGAAAACGTGCTGGCAGAGTATGAGCCTGAAGAGATCGTTGCGCTGCTGTCGGCTTTTGTCTTCCAGGAGAAAACCGAGAACGAACCAACATTGACCCCCCGCCTGGAAAAGGGGAAAGAGGCGATCATTCGGATCTCGGAGAAGGTGAATGATTATCAGATCCAGCACCAGGTCATCCAGTCAAGCGATGACGCCAATGACTTCACCAGCCAGCCGCGTTTTGGCCTCGTGGAGGTCGTCTACGAGTGGGCCAAGGGCATGTCCTTCAATCGTATTACGGACCTGACGGACGTGATGGAAGGCACCATCGTGCGCACCATCACGCGTCTCGATGAGACGTTGAGGGAAGTCAAAAATGCGGCGAAACTGGTGGGAGACCCGACGCTCTACACGAAGATGCAGCAGGCGCAGGAGATGATCAAGCGCGATGTGATCTTTGCCGCCTCACTCTATATGTAGGTGGCACTGGATGGATGTCATATCGGATCCCAAGGATGGAGGAGTCGAAGTTACACGAAAGAGAATACGCATATCCCCTGTAACGCTTTCTCGTACTTTCAGAGCTGCCGCTGTATCTGTAGGTCCCAAGGAAGACCCCTTCTTCGGTTTCCCACACGTGCCGCAGTGGCCATGCTTATTGCCACACACCTGGGATGCGCATACGCATCTGTTCATTTCATGTTTTACGATTCCTGGCTGAACGAACGCACATACGCACTGCACAATAACTACAAGATTAATAATGCCAGAACAGTTGTATTCTGAATGAGCCCTGGGTAGGACAGGCCTGGCTCCTGTATCGATAAAGTTTTGAATTTTTTTTTCTAGGGTCACGATTAGGCATCGTTCTTGCTAAGAAACCCCGTTGCACAGCGGGTCCCGGGGGGTGGTTGGCCGCATCAGAAGCCTTGCTAATCGCTAGTGTCTGCCGCGTGGGTCGGCGGCAGGAAAAAAACATCTGTGCACTCACAATTCTCCAAAGCCCACTTCCGCACCATTATCATTTATCAACAAAAAGAAAAGCTGGCCCTGCCATCTCATCCGCACCGTCCATCAGTACACGGCCCAGGAGAGAAAAACCCTTGACTTGCTGCACACTGGGAATTTTTCACTCGAAGGTCGATATCTGGCGCTGGGGGCCGTAGTCGGTGCGAGATGGATGTTGCAGCTCTTCGTGACCGCATACAGTCCACCCTCGACGCCAATGCGGACAATCGACGACAGGCCGAGATAGATTTGAAATATGTACGCTCTCGTCCCTTCTTTCGTCTTCCACCGCGCTCACCACCATCGTGCTTTATTTTAGGCAGAGAATCAGCCGGGATTTCCAAACGCCCTGCTGGATATCCTGCAGGCAGAGCAGAATAATGCGGTCCAGCTATCCGGTACGAAGAACCCCGCCATCGCCCCCCTGAACCACTCCCCCTCCTCGCCCTTTTCAATATCAAGACTGCGGAAGATACAGAGGAGACACTCAGAACAGACTTGCGCTAACAATTTGTTTTTTTTCGTGTTGCAGCCGTCGTCTACCTGAAGAATCGTATCACCCGAGGATGGGCTCCCGCCGAGGACAACCCTCTGCACAAACCGATCCCAGACGACGAGCGTCCGGCGCTACGAGAGCGTGTTATCCCCGTCCTTGCGTCGTCGCCGCCGAACGTGCGCGCCCAACTAATTCCCATCCTCCAGAAGATCCTCCAACATGACTTTCCAGAGCAATGGCCGGGGTTCATGGACATTACCCTGCGGCTACTGAGCACCAATGACGCCAACTCGGTTTTCGCGGGGCTGCAGTGTCTGCTGGCAATCTGCCGTGTCTACAGATTCAAGGCGGGGGAGAAGAGGACGGATTTTGATAAGATTGTCGAGCACTCCTTCCCGCAGCTTTTTGTCATTGGTAACAAGCTGGTGGACGAGGAAAGTCTGGAGGCCGCTGAGATGCTCCGCCATGTGGTCAAGGCATACAAGCATGCAATCTACGTGAGTCCAGCCTGGAACATACCGGCTGCCGTGACTGGGAAGCTGACCCTGCGTTTCTAGTTTGAGCTGCCCCCGCACTTGAAGACACATCAGGCCACCGTCGACTGGTGTACGTTATTTTTGAGGATCATCTCCAAGACCCCGCCTGCCGTCTCGATGCCCGATGACGTTGAAGAGAGGGAGACAAACCATTGGTGGAAGTGCAAGAAGTGGGCATATGCGAACTTGAATCGCCTGTTCATCAGGTTTGTTTCCGGATTGTCTGCCTCCCATGATGTTTAGTTACTTACGTCGGCTTATCAGATACGGCAATCCTACAACAATTACCAAGAGCAGCGCTCCCGATTATTCTCAATTTTCCAAGAACTTCATCAGCACTTTCGCCCCGGAGATTCTCAAAGGCTATCTGCAGGAGATTGACAAATGGGTGAAGGGCCAGTGGCTCAGCAAGCCCGCGCTGTCGTACACCCTCATTTTCCTTGAGGAGTGTGTGAAGCCCAAGGCCATGTGGGACCACTTGAAGCCCCATATGGACAACCTCATCGCGCACTTGGTTTTCCCACTCATGTGCCAGTCTGATGAGGATCTGGAGCTCTTCCACTCGGATCCACAGGAGTACCTTCATCGGAAACTGAACTACTACGAAGAAGTCTCCGCTCCTGATGTCGCTGCCACGAATTTCTTGGTGTCGCTCACGAAGAATCGGAAGAAGCAGACATTTTCCATACTGCAGTTTATCAACGGCATTGTTAGTAAATATGAGTCTGCTCCCGATGACCAGAAGCTGCCCCGCGAGAAGGAAGGTGCTTTGAGAATGATCGGTTCGCTAGCCTCGGTCATTCTGGGCAAGAAGAGTCCGATTGCGGACCAGGTCGAGTATTTCTTTGTTCGCCATGTCTTCCCCGAGTTCCGGAGCCCGCACGGTTTCCTCAGGGCTCGTGCTTGTGATACGTTGGAGAAGTTCGAGCAGCTGGACTTCAAGGACCCGAACAACCTGATGATCATCTATCGAAACATTCTCGAGTCGATGACTGATCCGGAACTGCCCGTCCGGGTGGAGGCCTCCCTTGCCCTGCAGCCTTTGATTCGGCATGATGTGATCCGGACGTCGATGCAGCAAAACATCCCTCAGATCATGCAGCAGATCCTCAAATTGGCCAACGAGGTCGACGTCGACGCTCTCGCAAACGTCATGGAAGATTTTGTCGAGGTGTTCTCGACTGAATTGACGCCGTTTGCTGTCGCTCTCAGCGAGCAGTTGCGTGACACGTATATGCGGATCGTTAGCGAGCTTCTCGAGCGGAATGCTGCCAAGGGCGAGGACGAGTACGGAGACTTCCTGGACGACAAGAGCATCACTGCGTTGGGTGTTCTCCAGACCATTGGCACTCTCATCCTTACTCTGGAGAGTACCCCGGATGTCCTCTTGCACTTGGAAACGATCTTGATGCCTGTGATCACTATTACGCTGGAGAACAAGCTTTACGGTACTATTCCTCTTTCCTTTCCCCCCCCC